CCCCATTTCCAGCACAGCACCCTTTCCCCGCTGGGTCTCATGGCTGTGAGTCTAGCATCCAAAACAAAAAAAATTCTCTATGGGTTTGCACATTTTTATGTCAACAGATTGTCACAGGAAAGTTCTAGAAGAGTATATGCCAAACTGTTAACAAGGAGAGACATATGAAAAACTTATTCATTGCTTATCTAAAATTCAAGTGTAACTGGGCTCCTTACCACACAAGATTGTTACACAAGCCTACATGTGTCGCTTCAGGCAGCTGTGGGTACTCCTTAAAAGTGTGCATTACGAACATTGACACTGAGCCTAAGCTCCTTTAGAACTGTACCTTCACATTTAATTTTGAATGATTCTTGAAGGGAGGAAAGGAGGAATATTAAGATTGCTTGAGTGGCTGTAACAAAGTACCATGAAAGCTGACAGATATCATTTTCTTCAGTTTCTTTGAAACAAACACAGTTGAGACTACAGCTTGTTCAATGACCACAAACTCCTCCCATCCCAGCAACACACCATTTTACAGTGTGACTTTGCAACAGCCCTCCTATGCTGAGGCCCATCCTCTTCTCTACAACCTTGAATCTGAGACTGACTTGTGGCCAGTATGACCTGGTTTAAATTCCTGAGCCTAAGCTGCAAGTGGCCCTGCAGCTTTGACCTTCACCCTACTGCAACACTGCTCTGAGACCACCATCCTGGGGAGAAAGGCCATTTGGAGAGACCAGCCAACCCTCAAAACCACACAGCCAACCCTTGAAATCATGAGACATAATCAATCATGTTATTTCAAGCCACTAAATTTGGAAGTTGTTTGTTGTACCACGATAGGTAACTCAGTTTATTTTCTCATTGTTTCCCTCGGGATTTTTTCTGCACAAAATCTCTGTGAGGATTCACTAAAGGTCAGAACTCTTTATCGTGAGTATCACTTGTGTGGCAGTTCATCAGGTGTGAAGCCAATGAAAATTTAAACAGAAGTCTGTGTGGCTATAAAGGTCCATTGTTCTTTTGTTTTTTGTTTGTTTTTTTACACACACCTTGAACATGACAAGCATTCTTTAAAAATTTAGTTGGATGACTGACTGAATCAGAACTTGGTTTTTGTTACTTGTATATATCAGATTTGCCTCTGCAATGGAAAACCTTACAGGTTTTTCTGGACCACATACAACAAAAAAGATGGGCAATGAATCTGCAGGAGATTCAAGATCCTCAGTAAAGTTTTTGGGAGTCGTATGGTTGGGTAAGACCTGCGTTTTCCCTGAGGCTGTCATAGACAAAGTACAAGCCTATCCTATACCAAAAAAAATGTGAAAGAGGTATATAGGCTTTTGTGGGAATGTTGGGGTATTGGTGAACTTTTATACCCCATATAGCATGATGCCTTTGCCTATTATATCACCTAGTTAAGAAGGGATATATGTGTGTGTGTGTGTGTGTGTGTGTGTGTGTGTGTGTGTATAAATATAAATATATAGACTGGGGAGCCAAATAACAGGCTTCCTTTGTGAAAGCAAAAATACTGGTCAAACAAGATTAAAGCTCTTGGAATTTCCCAAGTGGGGTTGCCATTTGAATTAGATGTTTCAGTAACCTTGGAAGGTATAGGCTGGGCATTATAACACAAACAGCAAAAGAGCAACTGCTCCTTAGATTTTTGGTCCCAACTATGGAAGGGGGTAGAGATCATATAATACCCCAATAGAACAGCAATTACTGGCAGTGTATACAGTGCTCCTGTGAGTGGAACCTTTTACTAATAGCGAATTACAGTAAGAACTTCCCTTCCCATCAAGGGGTGGAATTACCAGCCTCTGCCATGACTCAGACTCCTATGCTGACTAAACGGCATGCCTGTTTACAAAAGAGGAATACTCTCTGTTTCTAGAAATGCAGAAACTATTAGGCCCTGTTGAATATTTAGAACCTCCAAATGCTCCTGCTCCAATCCCTGTATTGGCCTCTGTAACCTGCAAAGAAGGAATAAGGGAAATTCCAGCTGGAGACTGGTACACCGATGGCCCTAGCTGGAAATGGATGCAAATTGCTAAGCCATCTATATTTTGTGGGCCTCAGGAATTCTGATTTTTTTTTAAATGACAAATAAGCAAGTTGAAGCATTTTAGTTTTTATGGCATTAGTATGCTTAGGCCAGCATGATTATATCTAGAGGGTAAACCAGACATATTGCACATGTATTAGTATCATATTTCCACAAAATATTTCACAAAATTGTAATTGCATAATGAAAATGAAAAACCACAAAAGGAAATGATCACTACTGCAAATAATGCAACTTATCACTGTGATAAGCAGAGATTAGAAGACAAACATTTTCATGTGGGCAGTAAACTATATCTAAAGGGCATGGCAGAAGTATGTATACATTTTGTAGGCATAAAGTCCCACCTAGGACAGCATACAGGACCCAGGAATCCCAATCATTGCTGTTTGAGGCTCTGTGCAAACTTGGGAAAGGATCTGTGATCATGATCATGGGACCACAATCCTTATCAGGACCCCCCACTTTTGAAAGCAAAAGTACTTCAGGAAGGTAATACTCAAAGATAACTGGATACTTGCTCTTCTTTCTTCCCCTGTTGGGCATAAGCACTTTCTGATAGCAGGTTTCATTCAAGAACTTGGAGAGACTGATGTTTGTCAATATTGCTTTAGGGGAAGTGCAAAGTTTCCAGTATAACCTCCTGGAATGGTGATGCAAACCCAGGGTTTAAAGGACTTGTGGCCTACCAGGAATTGGACTCCTTTCTTAACTCTGGCAGGACCCTGTCTGAAGGCGTCAATGGTGGCTTCATATTTCATTGGGAAACAAAGGAAAGTTCAGCATCTGTTCCTTCTCTGCACAGAAACCCCTTCTCTCTAAAGTTCTGAATCACATAAATGCCGTTGCACGTTCGGAGGGAGCCTACTGATGCTGCTGGACCTAGAAACCACCTCACCTCTACCTTGAGCACACAGCTCTGTATTCCACCTCCTCTCCTACCAACCACACTAGGAACTGGTTCAAAATTTGCATGCACCCCTTTCATTCCAGAAGCGCTGTAATTTTTCTGATCACAAAAGCGATACATCCTAGTTGTAGAGAATTTGGAAAATTCAGAAAGTTACAAGGGAGAGGGAGAAAAGGGGAGGGAGGGAGGGAGAGAAAGAGAGAGAGAGAGAGAGAATGGGGGACGAGAGGGAGAAAATATGAAGAATGAATCATGAAACACTGGTAATTCCACCTCTCAGAGAGAACCACTATTATTCTGCAGTATTTCTTCCAGGAGCCCTCTTTTCAGTATCTCTCTGCCTATTTCTCCACATCAGCTCCCTGTCTTGTGTACTTCCTATGTCATCTCTTATAGAACTTATATTGTTAAGTGGGTGAATACTTGAATTAGAAAAGACTACTTTATGTAATTAAAAGCATCATAAAATGGCTTTCATTTAATATTACCCACTGTGTATGCAGTGGCAGTTTGTAGCAACAGAATGGTTCCTATTAAGACAAGAGTCCATCTGAGATAGCAGACTCGCCTCCTCCCTAACCACCACATCCACCATGGATAGCTATGACAAATATTGCTCTCTATAGAGAATAGTTACATTATGAGTTTCATAGGCCTGGAGATAGGCCAGGAAACCCATAACCTATGTACCTCTGTTTCCATACGAAAATCTGTTCTGGGTTCCAAATGACTTACTTACAAACTAACTTATAGAAAATAAATGATTTCTAGGAGGAAGCCTGCCTATGTTTGGATCACTGGTATAAGAGAACAGGACTAAGTGCTTGTATATCATTTGTCAAGAGGAGGGTAACAAACCCACCCCTGGTTAGGAAAGCAGTGTGGTTAATTTTCATAGGATTATGTAGAATGGCTAAGAGTTGGAAGAGCAAGGAAAGGGGACAGTTCTTCAAAGCTTTGCTTGTCTCTAGTTTTTCCTCATTCCTTTCTTTTCTGTTGAACTCATTTATCAAAACTCAGCTCCATGTGTGTCGAAATCTGAAAAAGATCTGGAGATTGTCCCCATGTTGACATACTCGTTTTGATACTGTATTGTAGTTTTGTAAGATGTTACCATTGGGGGACACTGGGGGAAGGGTACAGGGGACCTCTTTGTACTATTTTTGCTACTTCCCATGAGTCCATAATTATTTCAAAAGAAAAAGAAAAACTCAGCTCCAGAAATTTCTGCAACACGGAGCCTTCTTACCTGACAACCAGATCCCCATCAACTTCCAACTGCTTCGGCTTACTGGACCTTCACATAGTTTCCATACTGTTTCATGACTGTTTTCTAATCTGTGCCACGCACTTAGCATACATGTATATTTATATATGTTTATATATACTGTGACTTAAAAACACAGACTGGGGCCGGCCAAGTGGCTCAGTTGGTTAAGAGCTTGCTCAAGAGTACGAGCTCTGAGCAACAGCGGTTTGATTCCCAGCCGGAGCTGAGCTGCCGCTGAGTTGCCAACAGGTGGCAAGATGACTCAGCTATAAAAAAAAAACCAACACAGACTGTGTAATACTGTCCTTTTCACTAGCTCTTTCATATGTGTATATATCATGACTCCCCAACAAGACTATAAGCTCTCTCTTTACCTCATGGCTCTACATGGCTAATGCATGGTAGGTTCTCAATAAATACTACTTAAGTTACTGAAAAAGCAAGAAACATTAAAGGAAATAAAGAGATAGTTAAAACACTTGACCAAGTTTTTCTTTTTTTTTAACAGACTATAATTTGGTTCCCAGAAAACATTTACTATCCCATGATTAGAGTTTAAAGGCTATATAGAAGACAGTATTATCTGTCTCTTTTAATCTTAGTTATTACCATGAACAGGTGGTTATCAACTGAGAGTTACAAAGGTTACTCACAGGTATGTTGTTTTAACACTTGCCATAAAATATTTCTGCAAGTTCCCTAAGGGAAATGCTGAAAAAGCACTTCACTAACTCTGGAATCTACCCTTCCTCCAGGTAATCTTGTCTGAATCAGAGTTGAGCAGGTTTGTTTAAGCTGAAAACTTGGGTGAAGACAAGAACAGGTAAATTTTAAACTTTATGAAAAATGTGTACTTTCAAACCAATATAAATGATATTTCCAAATTGAGAAATTAGAAACATATCTACTGATTTAATAGAGTATATTCTTAGAAAAAGTACCTGTTCACTTAAATTGCTATTTACAGTTTAAAATATGTTGGTTGTAGCCTGGAAAGAATGACTGACTATAATTTTTTATCCAATTTGGCCCTACGTGATTTAGAACAATCTATAAAATAAAATATTTAGTGAAAACCAAAGATCAGAATCTGTGCATGGTATACTAATTTTGCCATTTATGCTTTTAAAATGAGAGAGGGTATTATTTATATATATTTATTTATATACTTTTATATTTTTTACATATTTATTTACATATGTACACACATATACATATATAATATACATACATATATTTGCATGTGATTTATATGCATGAAATCTCCCTGGATAAATACACAAGAAGCAGGTGACAATGGCTATCTCTGGTGAAGAAAATTAAAGGACTGGCAGATGGGTTGGCAAGAAGATTGCCTTTCATTGTACACATTTTTCCACTGTTTGAATATTTTACTACATTCATGTATTACCTTTAGAAATGTTGCTTTTATTTTATAAAATAAAACACAGTTGAAGAAAAACTACATAAAACAAATTAATGTTTTAGTGAATTATTATAAGGTAAACACTCTCATAGCTACCTACAAGGTCAAGAAATAAAACTTTGGGATGCCAGTTAGCTCAGGTGGTTAGAATTCAGTGCTCATAACACCAAAGTTGCTGGTTTGATTCCCACATGGGCCAAGGAGCTGTGTCCTCCACAACTATTAGATTGAAAACAACTACTTGACTTGGATCTGATGGGTCCTGGAAAAACACACTGTTCCCCAATAAAAACTAAAAAAAAAAAAAAGAAAGAAAACTTTGCCAGCCACCCAAAAGCTTCTCACATGCTCCATCTCAATCACATCCTGCCCCCTCCAAAGTAACCACTGTCTTTGATGCAGCATGTTTTGTGTGTGTAGCAAGGATCATGGTCTCACAGCATCGAAGAATGGAGACACGGATGAGAGAGGCAAAGTTGCAGAAAAGGACAGTTTATTAAAGCAAAGAGATACAGTTCTCTAAGTGAGAGGGGGCTCCCGGAAAATTGGAAAAATTGGAATGCCCGCTGACTGGGGGGGGCGGGGGGGGAGGCTTCTGTTTATATGCTTCTACTAGCCTATCTGGGGAGAAAAGCAGGTGTATATTGTTACAGTTTTATCAACTTGCTGTGCTGCCCAGCGTGGAGGAGGTTTCTTCTGCTGCTTAGCTGCTAGCCTAGTTGTCCCAGAGCATAATTAGTGCGTTTGCTCCAGCAGGTGTGTTCTCTCCAGGCTGAGCTCTCAAGGCTGAGACTGAGGCTTGTCCCGGAGTATAATTGATGATTCTGCTCTGGCAGAGAGTGCTATCTTAAAGCTGGAATTTTCAAGGCTGAGGCTTTAAAGATACCTTTATCTTCTGCTCATTCAACCGGGGAATTTCTAACTGCCTAATTATTACACTAACTAACCTGCCTTATCTTTATACTGATCATTTCTTTCCACTAACCTGGCTTTGATAACTTGCTTGCATTTCTTCATAACTTTACCAACCAAGTATGTATTCCTAGCTGCTGCAGTTAGTCTTGCCCATTTAAAAAGAGACCGGTCTTTTATGTCTCTTGTAAAGTACAGGTTCCCCCTCCTTTCTTTCCTTACACTTTTTCTATTGAATCACCAGGCCATTTGGCCTACAGAGATTTTCCTCAGTCTGGAATTTGCTGATTGCACACTCGTAGTATAGTTCAACATGTCCCTCTTATCACATTTCCTGCAAATTGACAGCTGAATCCAGAGACTTGATTGGACCGTTTTGCAAGATCTAGGCGGTGGTGTGTTTTTTCATCAGATGACACATAATGTCCGATTTTTGTTCATTGTCAACAGCATTTCATGTTCAATGCCTAGGTTCATTAACTTAATTGGGGGTCACAATATGGTAATATTCCAATCCTGTCATTTCACTTCATTAGCTGAAATAATTTTCAAAGAAGAATCTTCCACTCATCTACTCTTTTGTTACCCAGTGCTACAGTTCATATAGGAAAACCTTGATTCTTTCCTTTTATTTCCCCAGTTTTCAAGCTAATGTATGGTTCTCTGTCATCCACAAAAGGAGACCAATCAGTTTGATGATTTTTTTAAAAAGTTTTTTTATTGTGAACTCATGAATTTAAGCATATTTGATGGGTTTCAGACTGTGGGAGCCAAAGTCCAAGATGGCCCCCCAATGATCCCTGCTTTCTGGAATTTACACCCTTGTATAATTGTTCAAGGGTTGGTCTGTGTAACGAATAAACTACAGCAAAAGCAGTGGTATGTCACTTCTGAGATTAGGTTATAAAAGTCTGCAGCTTCCATCTTTGGTGCTCACTTACAGGTCTGCTCTCACTGTCTCTCTACACTCACTCTGAGGGAAGCCATGTTGTAAGCAGCCATGTGGAGAGGCCCGTATGATGAAGAACTGAAGCCCCTTGCCAAAAGCCATGTAATTTCCCAAATGGATCTTCCATGCCCAGATTCAAATGAACATATTCCCAGTGAACAACCTGACTGCAATCTCATCAGGGACCCTGAAACAGAACTACCAGTTAAGCTGCTTTTGGATTTCTCACTCTCAGAAACTGTGGCTTTAAGCAATGCTTTGGGGCAATTTGTTTCACAGCAATAGGAAACTAATTTACAATCCATTGCAATTCTTATTGTTATTGACACTCAATTTGTCCCATATTTAGTCAGTGGGAGCTCTTCAAATTGTCTCCTGAGTTATTTGAGATAATCTTAATAGTCTTTAATACCTTCTTTGCAACCTAAAATGGGAAGAGATCCCAGGGTTTTCTTAAGTAATTTCCTGCTCCAAAACTAGAATTTGCTGTTTCTCTAAGAAGTCCTTGTTTATTTTTTTGGAAATGGTCTTGAGAAAGACCACAGTCTGGCGCCAATCATGGGTGTGTGGTTGGTCATTATTTCCAGAGCTTTTTAGTAGAGGCATAAAATATCTTGTGAGTTCATACTTAAATTCCCAACTCAGATTCAGGATTAAATATTTTTATTTAACCTCTTTTATATTAAATCTGATTCTTTTCTACTACATGAAGAATCCTGGCTCTCAAGGACAGAGGCAATAAAATTAACTATCCATTAATTAGTCATTTGCTTTATCCCACAGAAACACACAACAGTCTCAGAAAACAATTCCAATACTACCATCAATCATTATAATATCTGAAAACCATTTAAAAAAGTTTTTGCGGGCCGGCTGAATGGCATGTTGGTTAAGAACTGGCTTGGGACGCCAGAGGGCCCCGGTTCGGATCCCACATATGAGGGCCAGTGACACTGCCCTCTACAGCTAAGATGCTGAACAACAGCTCAACCTGGAGCTGGGCTGCCGTGAGTCGCCAGTGTCGGCGTAGGCTACAGCCCCTGCTGCAGTGGGTTGCCATGGGCTACCGTGTGTAGCCAGCAGCCAGCGTGAGCGGCCAGCAGCTGCAGTGAGCAGCCGTCCAGAAGCCGGAGACTGATCTGCCTCGCCCGGGAAGAGCGCAATGATGGTGCCAACTTGGGTCAGTGAAGCAACGTCCTCCACAACTAGACTGAAGAAAAAAAGGACAGCAACTTGTCTGTTCCCCTTCCCCCAGTTCCCCAGCACTGTTCCCATCCCCCCAAATCCCCAATTAAAAAAATAAAATCTTTAAAAAAAAAACAAAAAACTTTTTGCACATGCTACCATAATTCCCCTTTTTAAATAGTTGTACAACATCTACATTCTCAGATAATGCAGCCATTACATACTATACTCTTTCCTTTTTTGATGCTCATTTAGTGTTACTTCTACAAATAACCATACAGTGGGAACTGAGGTAAGGCCATAAGGGCAATAAGATCGAATCAGCAGAGAATTAGTTATAGAAGACTTGAAGGCCTCATCAAGGGATCTTAATTCTATCCTGTAGGCAGCAGGAAGCAGCTGGGGGATTTTGAGTCAAATACTGGATAAATTTTTCTATGTTATATATAGCACATCAAATCTCCCGCCAAATACTGCTCAGAATCATAGTTCTTTTTTCTCCAGCCCCACCTGTGGTTGACCTTGTCCAAGACAGGTTTACTGAATTCCTACTAGAGTTCCTTCTTCTTTGCTGGCATCTCATCTCCATTTGCAGCCTTTTCTCATTTCACCTCTTCCACTTCTTGATCTTTATAACCTGACCTCATCCCATCAGAGTTTGGGTTAGGTTTGTTTCTCGGGTATCCATTGATTGCCCCTATCACATTAACTGATCAATAGTTCATTCATCAAATGATTTGATCCCCTATTGTGATCCCCTATTGCCTACTGGGCACTCTGCTAGGGACTGAGCCTACAGTGATGAGCAAAAAAAACCAAAACCTTGCCCTCACGTATCCTAGAGTCATAGAAAAAAACTATTATATTTTGGTATCCTATTTTTCACTGTAGTATTTATCGCACTGTATTTTAACTGAGCTCAGAGTATCTAGCACTTTGTACATGCTTAATAAATGTTTATAGATGGGTTGATTGAATGTATAGAAACTTGAAGAGCTCTACTTATACAGCCACAAGAATTATCATCAGCCCTGGAAATGATAATAGCAATCTCATCCCTTCTCAGAATTGCTGATCACATAAAAACATAAACTCTAGGTCACAGGTTAGCAAACATTTTCTACGGAAGTGCTAGGTGATAAATATTGTAGGCTTTATAAGCCATATGGTGCCTTTCACAACTACTCAGCTCTGCCATTGTAGTGCAAAAAAAGCTATAGACAGCTCATAAACAAACGAATGTGGCTGTGTTCTAATAAAATTTTATTTATAAAAACAGACAGCGGGCTGGATTTGGCCCATGGGCCCTAGTTTACCAAACCATGCTATAGATGGTTCCACTTTTGTCTGTTTTTCAGGACTGCCTTCATATCTGCTCCATACTCTTTTCTTCCGTCAGGTAAATTTAATTGCTACACCCAACATCTGAGTTTACTTTTAAACCCATGTCTGATATCTGCAGTTGTGGTATTGTGAAAGAATATGTAATTTGAAACCCATCAAACCTGTTTTACTCATTGGTTAGCCTTTTGGCAAGTTACTTTAGCTTTTTTAAACCTCTATTTCTTCACTCTAAATGGAGTTTGTTTTTTTTTTGTTTTTTTTAGCTGAGCCATCCTGCTACCTGTTGGCAGCCCAGCGGCTGCTCAGCTCAGGCTGTACTCGAACCGCTGTTGCTCAGAGCTCAAACTTTTGAGCGAGCTCTTAACCAACTGAGCCACTCAGCCAGCCCTCTGGAGTTTGTTTTTTTAATCAGACTGTGACAATCAAGTGGGAAACATACATTGAAAACCGAATATGATGCCTAGCACACAGTAGACAGTCCACAAATATCCCCCACCCCTTTGTCATGTTCTTTTCTTCCTTCAAATCAAATCATCAGATATTTATTGAAGATCTATTATAGCCAAGGCACAGCTTCAGGTATCTTTAAAATTATTCTAAATCCTCCCTAGTATTTCTTTTGACCACTGGTTCTCAAACTTGGCTATGACACAATATACCTGGGAGCCTAAAAGTACTGATGCTTGGGTCCCAACCTTAGATATTATGATATAAGTGTTATAAAGAGTGGCCCGGGCATCAGCATTATCCCCAGATAATTTCAGTATGGAGCAAATTTGAGAGTCATTGTTCTAGACTAGGACTCTGGCTTCAATCAATTCAGAAGCGTCTTCTTCCATCTTTCCATCTGACTGCTCTTTAGCTGTTAGTACCTATAGGCACATCCTTACAGAATTAGAGTTGATTGAGTTCTTACATGTTACTTATATTTGGATATATTTATGTTAAGGAGAGTAGAAAAAAAGAGAATGAAATAATCATCTTCCTTTGTATTTGACATTTGTTGTTTAACTCTCTGGCATCCATTTCCCTTTCTTACGGCAACAGCCTTGATTTTTATTTGGGGATCCACCTCTTCCTCAATCTCAGTCCAGCTGGCCTGCTTGAGGCTTTCCTCTGGCCCTCGATGCTTGTGAAACCAGTATATGAGCTCTCCTGGCGACAGTTAGTATTGGTCCACTTTGAGTAAGTGTCATGATTTAGTTTTCTAGGCTTGCTGAAAGACACACTTGTTTTCCTGCTGGATTGCAATCTAAAAGAATATGGTTCCTGGAGGTTCTAGCAGCTATTTTACAACCTCGAAGAGAAAGGCTATCTGAAAACATAATAAGAGAAAAACAAACAAAGAGAGAGAGAGAGAGATCATTTGAGCCACAGTGTCTAGCTAGTTCTCAAGCCAGGTGCACCATTAAACTGCTCTGTGAACCAATAAATTCCATGCTTCTGCTTCTGCCAATTTTACTCTTGTGTTCTATCATTGGCAACCAAACCAATCACAAGCTAATACAGCCTCCTCTCATCTCCTTCGAAACCAAATCCAATCACCCGTATACACAGAGAATATGTGCCAGTCAAACCCTAATAATTCATTCATCAAACAGGTAATGAGTAGTTATTGTATACAATGTTTGCCCTAGGAGAAAGGATTACAGTGGTACACCATCATTAAGGGCTGCACAAATGTTTGTAGAAAAATACCCAGCAACTAAACAATTCCCCTACTGTGTGTGAGGCCCTGTGCTAAGCATTGAGGACAGAAAGGACCATAAGCCATGGTATATATTCACCAAGGTTTGCCATCAAATTGGAATGATGGCATGTGCATAAAGAGATGAACAGAAATCTGGGATGTTGGATGCATGGATACCTGAGAATGGACATCAAGCCCAAAGTAAGATGCCTAGGCAGAAAATCTTAAGTGAGCACAGACACTGTAACATTTTCATTTTCCTTTGAACCAAAATTAGCTAGGAAAGGAAGGGAAAGTGTTGCAAAAAGTGGAAAAGAAGAGGTAACATAAGGGAAAGCTACATTAGCAACTTTGAAAGTTATTCTAATAAATTTTTTAACTAAAAAAATAAGATACTTTGTGGATTTTATCTGTTTGCAAATTAACTATGTTAATTTTTTAAAATGTGAAGACTGCAGAAATCCCTTCCTCCCTCCCTTCCTTCCTTCCTTCCTTCTTTCCTTCCTTCCTTCAACACTGTTGCATGCTAGTATGTGCTAGACACTATTATATACTCTGAGGTTTTAGCAGCAAATAAAACATGCCTACCAGTTACATTCTAGAGTCTACAAAGCAGAAAGTAAACTTTCTCATTCAACCCCCCAAAATGGCCACTCTAAATGGTTTGGTGAATATTCTTACAGACATTGCAAACGTAGATACTGGTACTTATTTGTTTCTACAAAAAAATAAGAATATACTATACTTACTTTTTTTTTTTTAAACTTGCTTTTTTTTTAACTTAACAAAATTACTTGGATTGGTTTCATGTTAATAAATATAGATTCACCTCATTCTTGTTATGAGATATGTCATATTTCATGGTATTTAACTACTATCTTGTTCATTAACATTTGGTTGTTTCTGGGTTTTCACAGTGATGAGCAGTGTTGTTGGAAAATAATGTATGCCATTTCTATAATTTTTCAAACATTCAGAAGAAAGTGTTAATTAAAGTTCTCCAAAATGGAATGGTGTGATCCATAGTGGAAAAGATCTGAATTAAATTCCTTTCAGGTAAAAACCCTATCATCTACTTCCCTTTTGATTCATCATTGCCTTATTGAGTACTTAACAGAATCAGATTTTACACAAATGACT